GTCCCTGAGGGACTGACCACCTCAGATTCGGTCCCTCAGCCTGGAGAAGAGTTTTCACTTTTTTACTGTTTATGCTAACTCTTCTGTACTCGACTGAAGAAGCCTACTGTGTAGGCGAAACGTTTCGGAATATAGCTACCTAACTGTTACACATGTCTTATCAACCTGTCGGTATTGTATACCATTATCATATTCACTAGTAATGGTCCAAGTTGGACCGAAACGTCGTCATAAGCTCCAGTCTTCTGGGTTGAGTTATTGTGATACCGCACTATAATTGAGCTACTGTGATAATAACTCACTATACCTGAGTTACTGCTATAATTACTAAATATTTGAGTTAGTGTTATATTAACTCAATATTTGATTTATTACTAAGACAAGAAACAGACTTGTTTACCGTAAGACTCATGGTGTCTGTGTAGAGAGAGAAGAAAGACTGATACCATAGCAACCTCTCTCACTCTCTTATATACTCCAGCATCTGCTAAAAGGTGACACGTGACGTCACAACAGGTTCGGTTGCAATAGCAACATTGCTCGTCCCAAGCCAATGATCGCTGGAAAATGACTCGTGATTGCGAGCACTGTAATTGGCTGTACATTAACCAATGATGCGCTGGCAATCTTTGTGAAATTTGCCCTTCGTAAACAAGGGAGGATCGATTTGCCTCTCATCTGCGTATTTCTAAGCAGCCAGAGGTGGGCTGATGTGAAAGCTGTTGGGTATCTATATTGTTGAAACGTTTTGCCTACTGTGTAGGCGAAACGGGTGTAGTAGTGAAATGAAGATGATGTAATGAATCCACTCACCATCCAGGCTGAAGGACTGACCACCTCATATATCCAAGGTTGATGGACTGATAACATCTTTACTTCACTACTACTCTTGCCTCTGTATTTGACTGAAGAAGCCTATTGTGTAGGCGAAATGTTTCAACCATAAAGATACCCAACTGCTGCACATGTATCTTAATCATCACCCAGTCGGTATCTTATACCATTTTCAACATAACAATTCGTGTTGTTTACACAAATCAGGTTTACAGGTCAACAGCTGTTATCCTTCATCAGGTCATTTTGAAACTCCAGCTCCATGTAAAGTAATACTACCACCTCCCCAGGATGCCATCCATAACAATTGGCTAACATCCAGGTACCTGAACATCAAAATGGTATAAAATACCGACAAGTTGTTAGGTAAGACATATGCAACAATACTATGGAACAATGATCTTCTCCAGACTGAGGGACTGACCACCTCCAAACTTTAAGGGTGATGGACTGATTACATCGTCTTCAAGTATCTTCTGCTTCTATCAACTTTTCTGTACTTGACTGAAGAAGCCTACTGTGTAGGCGAAACGTTTCATAATAAAGATACCTAACTGTTGCATATGTGTCTTACCTAACATCCAGGTACCTATTTAGTGCTAGGTGAACAGGGGCAGCAATTGTAAGGTGACCCAGGTAACTACTTACTGCTAATGTCTATATATACACTCACACTGATGTCTGTATATACAGTGTTCATATATTGTTTGTAACAGCTTAACAAAGCTCCTGGAGAGCGAAACGTTGCCACAGTACAACCTCGCATTAGTTGTAATTGTGTCCTTTTATCAAACACTTCAGTGTTTTTACGTTTATATCACTTGACATTGAGTGCAGCTTTGATATATAAATGTTATTGTAAATGATATTATTGTAGATGTTGAAGCAACTTCCTGAGAGTGTAGTGTTGTAGATGTTGAAGCAACTACCTGAGAGCGTAGTGTTGTAGATGTTGAAGCAACTATCTGAGAGCGTAGTGTTGTAGATGTTGAAGCAACTACCTGAGAGCGTAGTGTTGTAGATGTTGAAGCAACTACCTGAGAGCGTAGTGTTGTAGATGTTGAAGCAACTACCTGAGAGCGTAGTGTTGTAGATGTTGAAGCAACTACCTGAGAGCGTAGTGTTGTAGATGTTGAAGCAACTACCTGAGAGCGTAGTGTTGTAGATGTTGAAGCAACTACCTGAGAGCGTAGTGTTGTAGATGTTGAAGCAACTACCTGAGAGCGTAGTGTTGTAGATGTTGAAGCAACTACCTGAGAGCGTAGTGTTGTAGATGTTGAAGCAACTACCTGAGAGCGTAGTGTTGTAGATGTTGAAGCAACTACCTGAGAGCGTAGTGTTGTAGATGTTGAAGCAACTACCTGAGAGGTAGTGTTGTAGATGTTGAAGCAACTACCTGAGAGCGTAGTGTTGTAGATGTTGAAGCAACTACCTGAGAGCGTAGTGTTGTAGATGTTGAAGCAACTACCTGAGAGCGTAGTGTTGTAGATGTTGAAGCAACTACCTGAGAGCGTAGTGTTGTAGATGTTGAAGCAACTACCTGAGAGCGTAGTGTTGTAGATGTTGAAGCAACTACCTGAGAGCGTAGTGTTGTAGATGTTGAAGCAACTACCTGAGAGCGTAGTGTTGTAGATGTTGAAGCAACTACCTGAGAGCGTAGTGTTGT